CATGTAATCCTTCTCCAAGGGTGTCCTTCTCATCCTGTGTAGGTTATCACACTGCTGCAGCCAGCCCCAGCATGGGAGCCTTATTTACTCTCCTCGACTGAATGGCTTTAGGACTAGAAAGGCCACAAGGGAAGGGCAAAATGACCTGAATCCTATTTTTCTCACATAATTTTAAAACCTTTTTCAAGTATCTAACAAGTAGTTTATAATCTGGATTTAAAGTAATCAAATGCATGTTTGTTAATTAAAAAATAAAATATCTCTCTTTGTGACATCGCTACATAAAATATATATGTATTCAAAATAAAAAAATAGTCATTAAACATAATTTTTGATAGTTCATCTTTTAATTGCATTCTTTGTCTTTAAAAAGGCTGAAGCTGTAATACAGCATTATGTCAAGAATTACTTAGAGTCATTTTAATAACCATTTGGGCTTATTTGTCCCTTTGTTTCCTCTAGGTCTGCCCAGTGAACAATTTCCCCCATGTGCATGGCAATAATATCATTGTCTAGGCTTTGCATTGGCCTTTGACATTTTGCCTTTATCCACCTCTGAACTTAAAAGCCATGTTCTATTTCTTTAAAAAACATCTAGAAGAAAACATACTGCTAAAAACATCTGCAACTAGTGTCATTTGCTTTTCAGGCCAGCGATGGCTAATGTAATGAACAATTTAAAAGCACAATTTGCCATATGGATGGTATAGCAGTTATTTGCTCTGTTGCTAAACATAGCAGTGTGTTAGATGAATATAACAGCTTTCACACTGGCATGGGGAAGAAGCAGATTGGCCAAGGACTGCTGAAACAGGTGCTCTCTGTAGTGGCAATAGAAGATTTCTAATCTTCTCAGAGTTTCATTCTCTACATAATTTTTGAGTTATACATATCCATAGCTAGGGTAGAAAGACTACTCCAAGATTCCTGCCCTGAACTGACATAGGTCAGAGCTTCCAGTGTAGAATACAGTGCTTTACAAACATGATAGTACTATATCCATTTCATTCCCTATAATACCTTTCCACTGTCACTGTTCTTGATCAGAGCCATTCCATTTCCAATCTGTACTATTACAGTAAATTCCTAACTATTGTCTCTGTTTCTTAGCTTTTGCTATCCATTCAACCATTCGCCATGTTGTCTTGGTTCACCACATTCCCATGATCAAGAATCTGAAATGGCTCCCTCATGTGCATTAAGTCAACATCAAATACCTTGGTGTCACACTGAAAAAGTTTCATGACCTGGGGCAAAGCTATTTTAGGAACAATGGTTTTTATTTCCAAATTGTTTCGTACTCAAGTACATTTTAAAATAAAATGATTTCTGTACAAGTGAAATATCTATATATCAATAGAGATGTATATATCTTTCAAGTGAGTGTCTGCTCTATTTTTAAAATTTGGAATCAAGGTTTGGTGCCTGAATCCACTCACCTTTCTTTCTGCTGAAGAAGAGGCTATTGTATAGAATAAAACCCTAATATGCAAATCGACCAAATGGAAGAACGACTGGTCACTATGATGCACACTGACCACCAGGGGGCAGATGCTCAATGAAGGAGCTGACCCCTGGTGGTCAGCGCACTCCCACAGGGGGAGCGTCGCTCAGCCAGAAGCTGGGCTCGCCAGTGGGCTCATGACTGGCAAGTGCAGTGGCAGTGGATAGAGTCACTCTCACCTCCACACGGGGAATGGGCCTAAGCCAGCAGGCAGACATCCCCTTAGGGGTCCTGGACTGCAAGAGTGTTCAGGCTGGGCTGAGCCCCCCCCCCCCCCCCCCCCCAGTGCAAGAATGGGGACCAAATAGTATTTATGTATGCTCTAATAACCAGGTGATGAACACATCTGGTACCTGATGGATTAAACAATAAAGCTCAGGCCTGATATCACTGTGATTTGCTTTACTACCACATGAAATTTAGATTTGGAAACAAAGCCGACTTTCTGCTTTTAAAAAGAGCATTTTGCATCTGACTGACGGCATGTTGGAGGGGCAAGGGTTGGAATCCTTCATATAATGTGAATCATTAAGTTCCCAAATAATAGCCGAAACCGGTTTGGCTCAGTGGATAGAGCGTCGGCCTGCGGACTGAAAGGTCCCAGGTTCGATTCCGGTCAAGAGCATATACCTGGGTTGTGGGCACATCTCCAGTAGGGGGATGTGCAGGAGGCAGCTGATCGATGTTTCTCTCTCATCGATGTTTCTAACTCTCTATCTCTCTCCCTTCCTCTCTGTAAAAAATCAATAAAATGTATTTAAAAAAAAAAAAGTTCCCAAATAATAGTGAAAGCCTCGATTAGTCACTTCTTTGATCATTACTCGTCTGTGGATACATGTTATTTTCCTTATTGTATTTATTGGCTTACTATTGAAGCCTTGGGTCAATGTGAGATACCAGCTTCACATTTTAAGGAGAATACAAATATATCAGAGGAGTCCTCTTCACATAGGACTTAATACTACTGCTTTCACTCTCAGGGCCAAAGGATAAAGTGATATCTATGAATCAGATAGCACAGTATATGGTAACAAGTGGTAGTCAATAATTTACTGATGTATATTCATTTCTACCCTGCTAGAAGATAATTTCTCTGTGTCCTCTTCAATTTTGGTGTGCACAGGTTTTATATATTTAGTAAAAGAATGAATAAATGGGTCCGACAAAATAAAATCCTTGGCTTTATGATGAATGTTAAATCAGGCACTTACAGGGGCCTTCTAGAATGGTGGAGTGAGTATCTTTGTAAATTCACTTCTCCAATTAAAGCAACAAGCCATAGTCCATATGGCTCAGTGGATAGAGAATCAGCCCTCAGACTGAAGGGTCCCAGGTTCAGTTCTGGTCAAGGGCAGGTACCTTGGTTGCAGATTCAATCTACTCCTGGTCCCAGTCAGGGCATGTGCAGGAGGCAACCAATAGTTTCTTATTGATGTTTCTCTCTCTTTGTCTCTCTCCCTCCCTTCCACTCTCTCTAAAAATCAATGGAAAACTATCCTCAGGTGACAAAAAAGCAACAAAAACACTGGAAAAACTGTCATAATTAACCTTTAGAACTCTAAAAGTTAACCAAAAGCCTGAAACACTATGAATATGCTAATGAAAGAAAAACTGATGAGTTTCTCCTAAGGACAAAGGGCATTTAAATATGGCCCCGCTCCCCAGGTCCCCAGTAGCCTTGAAAACCAGCCACATCTCCACCACAGAAGCTGTAATACCCAGCAGCCTGGCAACTCTTAGAGGGCAGACCAGATCTGGACCGCCACAGGAAGGCCATACCCAGAACTATGTTAGTGTTGGACCTTCTGGCTCTTCCTCAAGAGTCCCATTCAGAGGGCTTGTCATTATTTTGTTTTACCTGGGAACTCCCTCAGTGGGAAAATTTTATCACCAGGGCATTTGTGAAAAACGATCACAGGAAATCACAAGTTGGGCAAACAGGAACCTGAACAAAAATTTTAGGATATTTGGGGAATGAAATGCCCATAGGCAGCTTTGAAAAGTTGTGATATGTTCTTGTGGATCTAGAGGCTACATACATGTTAGGGCTGGATGTGTTTCCAGAAAGTTCTAGGAGGACCCCAGTCTCTCACCTCTGGCTGACCTGAGACCCTGTGCAAGCAGGAAGTGAAGGGTAAAGCATGAACGTCAGAGACATGCCTCCAAACAAACACAAAGTCCCTTGGCAAAGGCTGGGAGACTTATTCATTGAGGAAATCTCTGATGACTCATTTGTTGACCAGTAAACTCACGGAGCAGTAAGCTCATTGGCTGCACATTCTAGGGGAATACAGACTTTACAGTATTAGTCCAGGTAAGTCACTAAACAAGAAACAGCAATAAGAAACACCAGCCCTGGCTGGTGTGGCTCAGTTATCTGGGTGTCCTCCATTCATGGAAAGGTTGCCAGTTCAATTCTGGTCAGGGCACAGCCCTCAGTAGGGGGCGTTCAGTAGGCAACAGATTAATGTTTTAATGTTTTGCTCTCACATTGATATTTCTCGCTCTAAAACTCAATTTTAAAAATATTTTATAAAAAAGTAAAAGAGCCCTCCATTTCTAATTTGGTTCGGTGGGTAGAGCGTCGCCCTGCAGACTGAAGAGTCCCAGGTTCGATTCCGGCCAAGGGCACATGCCTGGGTTGTGGGCTCAATCCCCAGTGGGGGGTGTGCAGGAGGCAGTGCATCAATAATTCTCTCTCATCATTGATGTTTCTATAACACCAGCAATGACAAAACACTGTCTGGTGGAAGCAGGAGGTCTGGTTTCCAGAACTGACAAATATTTTCTAAAGTACCCACATTTAAAAAAAAAAAGTATGTGACAAGTCCTTTGGTTGATCTCTTACCCCCTCAACCCCCGCCTTCCCTCATAGGCTGGACAGTCTGTTCGATGCTTCTATGACTCTCGTTCTATTTGTGTTCATCAATTTATGTTGTTCATTATAATCCACAAATGAGTGAGATCATGTGATATTTAGCATGCATCTGAGCATAACCAATGGACAGAGACAGGGGAGGTGGGGAGGGCATGTGCTGGGGGGTGAGGGTGGTCCGGAAGAGGTCAATGGGGGAAAAAGGAGACTTATCTAGTACTTTAAACAATAAAGAATTTAAATAAAAACTATGTGACATGCAAAGAAACAGGAAAATATGGTCCATATATGTGGGAAAACATCAGTAGAAACTCCGCTTTAGAGGCTCAGATGTTGGACTTACTAAATATGCAGAGCCTTTAGAGATATCTGCACCATGGAGGCAGACCAAAAGAGGTTAACAACGGACCAGCATCAGTGTTCAAGGGAGACCAGGAACTGTGATTTGTGGTCCAGATTATTTCACAGGATGATTGCCTTCAATCCGAAGCATCTGTGTGTATACATATATTAAAAATAGTCTTTTTTTAAAAAAAAACTATTAATGAGAAGCATGAAATTATTTGAAAATATTTTGGATAAGTACCTAAACAGTCCTTATGTTGTAATCTCTGTTTTCAGGTCCTCCAGTTAATGTCACATGCAACATATTCATAAACAGCTTTGGCTCTATTGCTGAGACAACCATGGTAGGCATGTTTCCTTTGTAATAACTTTCATACCAAAGTAATTGATAGTCACATTAACGGCAATTTTTCTGCTAATGTTATTTAAATTAAAGCCAAAATTAACATAATGAGATTTTAAAGGATAAACTTAATGGTGTAATTAAATTGTAATCAACTGCAAGTAAAAATGTTTCATTTAGAGATGGTATATTGTAGAATAAATGTAAGTGAAAACGAGATTGGTTTTTCACACTTCAGGAATTAAATACCAAATCTCAAAATAAAAATAAAATTCTATCATGTGACTTATTTATTCCTTTCCAATGTTTTTTAGTAACCAGATATAAGCATAGCAATAAACAATTTCATGTTTAATTATTTTATATACTGATAAACGTATTCATAATATTGTTTTAAGTATTCTATCTGATTACTTTTTTCAAATAAGTATAGTATTGACTCCAACATCATAAATATTTTGCAAACAATAGTGTATGTTTTAACTAAACTTGCTGAATAGAGACTTCATTACCATGTAATTGAGAACATTTTACAGAATTATTACAGTAAAAAATATATTATTATAGAACAGATTTTTCTGTTTTGAATTTCATAACTTTCTCTAGAGATCATGTATCTCTTCTTTGCGTTTACTGTGCACTTTAGCTAAAATAAAATGCAGACATAGGCACAGGAATCACTGCATATCTATAAAAGTGTCTAGCAGGCAACTTTTTAAAATTGAAAGTATGTATGGTGGTTCTTAAATTACCTAGAATTATACTGCACTTCTAAATTTAACAAGTATAATTTGCATTAATTTTCAAAGTTGATTTTAGCTAAAATAGGATATGAAATACTTCAAGATTTATTAGCTTCCAAAACCATTAAGTAGAGAATTATGCTCATGCTCATTTTCTATATCTCAGAATGATTTGATAGCGAATTTCTAAGGAAAAGTAATCTAATATACAAATTATTTTGTGGGGGAGTGGAGTGTGTGTATGTGTGTGTGTGCGTGTGTGTACATGTGTGTAGAGGATCTCTCTCAACAGGAAGAGACTGTTCAGGCACCATCTAAACAAATGGTCTTTTCATCATGTATGTAATATATAGCCATTTAGCAGCATCTCTGGTTTTATTTAAACATTAAAAGCATCAGCGAGCCGAAACCGGTTTGGCTCAGTGGATAGAGCGTCGGCCTGCGGACTGAAAGGTCCCAGGTTCGATTCCAGTCAAGGGCATGTACCAGGGTTGCGGGCACATCCCCAGTGGGAGATGTGCAGGAGGCAGCTGGTCGATGTTTCTCTCTCATCGATGTTTCTAACTCTCTATCTCTCTCCTTTCCTCTCTGTGAAAAATCAATAAAATATATATTTTTTTAAAAAAAGCATCAGCGGAAAAAAAAACTGACTTCACATATTTGGGCATTATATAGAATTATTTTAACTATAGTATATAATTAACATTAATGTGAGTGTCTGTGTTTGTGCAAACACAGAGAACATGCATGTATTTGCTTGTATAAGCACCATGTATTTCTGGTGCAATTCTGACCCTAAAGTGACTATAGTTCTGTTTCAGACCCATGGAATTTGGTTGAATATCTGGCCAATTTATATCCTGCAATTGTACATAACCACTCCAAATCATCCTTATATATAAAAAGCCAAGGACCGTCATGACCGAAACAACTGGACGGACTACTGAACAGCTGGCTGCGTGGGGCAACCAGGCTGGCGAGGGGAGTGGGGGGCAGTGAGGGATGACCAAATGACCGAACAGCAGGCTGCATGAGGTGATCAGGCCAGCTGGGGGGCCAGTGAGGGGCAACAGGCCAGCAGGGGGGGTGGGCAGTTGGGGGCAATCAGGCAGGCAGGCAGGCAGGCAGGTGAGCAGTTAGGAGCTAGCAGTCCAGGATTGTGAGAGGGATTTCCGAGGGGTCCTGGATTGGAGAGGGTGCAGGCTGGGCTGAGGGGACCGAATTTCATGTACCAGGCCTTTAGTAGTAAAGATAAAGGAATCTCTGCTGGCTTTTTTTTTTCTATATAGACTCTCCAAATTGTATTTCTAGCCCTGGCAACTTTCTAATTTTAATTGCTACTATATACAATCCTGAAAACCTGGAAAATATGTTTATGCTTCCTCTTTTGCAAGATCATTTCCACAAAATACTTTTGATGGCAATAGTCAGAAAGGTTTACAACCTTACTTATCCTTGTGGTGTGGAGGAAGGGAGTTAGAAACAAGAGAAGACATAGCCAGATTTCCTTATTAAATCTGAAAGATTCTCAGATTCCTGAGGGCCTCTGCTTTTTATGATGACATATACATTAGTCTACCACAAAATGGTTATAAGCACTAAGTGATTATAACAGAAAATCTATAGATGACTACACCAGCTAAATTTCTTACCTTTAATCATTTTGGACAGATTTCCTTTATAGAATAGTATCATACATAAAGCTTGATAGTGTTCTATACATTCTCACAGTGACCCTCACAGTTTTATTTCTTCCCTTCTTTAGTGTAGAAATTCTTTCCAGCCTTACATACTCCATCATAATGGATTTTCTTTGAAATAATTTTTAGACTCTATTATTCTCCTTTTCAGAGACACAAGCAGCATCAATGAACATTGATTTAACACTCCAGAGGTTAATTATTATAAAATAAACTAAGAATTATAAAATTCAGATGTCCACATTGGTATCTTTCTTTTTAGTCTTCCAAACCCCAGATTCAATTGTTGTAAAATATTTTAATGGCATCGGATAGATTAGCTACAATATGGTGTCCCTCTTTATAGGATAAGAGAAAATTTGAACTTGTCATTTTATTTCTATCTTAAGAATCATAAAATATTTTTCTACCACTTGATCAAATTAATGTAATTTAATCTTAGTTCCCACCATCACAGCTCTACAAACTAAACTTTATGCCATTGTTTTATTTGCATAATATTGCTTAATTTTATAAGCATATCAATATATTTTTAAACATTCTCATTTCTTAGGCAAATGTAGTTTACTTTTTATAATACAAATAAACTAATTCATTTAAGATAACATATTAAAATTAAGAGGACAGAATTTCAAATTACCTATAATCATTAATGAATAACTTTATATCTGAGAACTTATATCTCAAATAGAACTAAATAATTCTCCCAATTTACATATATCTGCCTAACAAAGTTCTTAACGGTTTTTAATGTTTTTATTGACCAAATATATTAAGCTCCCTCTGATGATCTAGTCTCCATTATATTTCTCCCCATTTTAAAATCCAGCTTTAGTCCCATTTGAGGTAATTATTTGATTCTTGAGAAAGTTTCTCTAGTAGATAATTTTTAATTTAGCCATTTTCTAAAAACTAAGTAATTTTAAAAATTAAGAAATTCAAATTTGAACATATTTTGTATCTTTTTGCACCAAAATTTTCAAATATTTATGTGCATTTTTAATAGTATAAACTCAAATTTTTTAATTGTTAAACTCATCCTTTCCCAATATTTCTCTACCTTACTATAGTGCCAAACATTCTCACTTGAGTACAGTTTTATTATTCTCAACATATTGTCATCAAATTTTTTTCTATAAGTATTATGGGAACTCTAGACTTCCCTATTTCCCTCACATTTGAGTTGGGTGTCATTGTATATAATGAGCTTCTCTAAGGCCTTACTCAGCCTCCATTATTCCAAGTTTACATTCTTTTTAAGCAGACAATGATTTAACAACTATTGGAAACCATAGTTCTTAAAAAATTTAAATAAAGCTGGTTTACCATCCTTGGGGTCATTTTCTTTCCTGTTGATGACAGAGGCGTGTCTATTTTTTCTTTTAAACCTGCAGAGACCAAAAGAACTCAGGAGTGTTTTTATTGCTTCTATGAGGGAAGCTTAAGATCTCCACATTAAGTGACACTTACTAGTAAGTGAAAAACACTCCTGCAAACTTGTGATGAGTTGTGGATAAGGCTTATATGCCAGGATGAAAACATTTGTCAGTTGCAATTAAAAAACAACAACAAAACACCACATATATGTGTATGTAGTAGTTTGGGTGTGTACATATAGCAGTATTTAAAAACGGATAAATTGGCTGAATCTTCTATCTTCAGAAAACAGATGGCTCTCCATCTTGTTACAAATAAGAATTAGAGAATTGCTCTGCTGTGTGCCTTAAGTCAATATTTTCTCATTGAACCATTACTTTTCACCAGTTCCCTTAGAATAAAGTACTTTTCTAAAATAAAATAAAAAACAACAACAACAAAAAAAACAACAGGTGAGCTATTTTGGTATAAGAGTGTTTTAGGTGCCTGTACACAGCAATGTGTGGTGGGGTTGGGTGAGAGTATCTGAGGGTCTGTTTGAGCTCATAGAATTGCTCAAACTCTGCAGTGTTTCAATTTTCCACACAAATGATAGGTGCATATATGATGATGACAAGCTTTTTTTTTTTAATGCTACTTTATTTGGTTGTGTTAGGATAACATTTAATTCCTTATACTGATTTATCAAATAGGCTCCATTGACATTCTATAATTTTAATCCAATTTACCTTTAAGTTCTATCTTTAAAAAATACTTTGTTTAAATCCATGGGCGTTTATTTAATTTTTTTGTAATTATTGGCTCCATAGAGCAGCAATCCACTCTGATATGTTCATCACTAAACATTAACAACAAGGAGAATTCTCAGAACAAAGTTGCTCTTAAGTATATAATGTGGAATACTCAAACACACACATGCATATCCTGGCTAACAAAGAATATTTTTTTTCCAAAAAGAGAACTTTGCTATTGTGTCCTTGACACAGTGGATAAACTCTGTTTTTCCTACTTTGTCATATGGTCTGTTTTTGCAGTTCTGAGTCCTGGTCACTGTCTTAAATTGGTGCTACAGTCTCTAAAATATGAGCTAAGTATCTAATTGTACGATCTTATGAGTATTGCTAATATTGCCCAGATGGACTTGGCTTTTTAATTCAAATCTTCACATGTAATTTTATAAT